ACAAAAGGCATTTGAGGAATATGAATGAAATCTTTTCAACAGCACATAATAGCAACAAACATTTAATACAAAAAGAAAGCTAAAAATCAGAAGACAGTTGCATTACAGAAAATATACGAAATTAAGCTGAACTTTTTTTATTTCCAATGCTGATTTTTCTTCAGATATTCTCTGGTTATTTGAACTAAGGAACTATTTCATGATAATGATAAAAGTACAAATATTTACAAGCTTTTGATAGTATAAAATTATCACTATTAGAAAAGTAAACGGTTTATTTGTATGCATATAGAATACTAAATTTAGAAGTGAAATTAGAAAATGCTTATACGTAAAATTAGATGCTTATACTTACTTATTCATGCTGGAAAGTAACACATGCCTGTCAATAAGTAAGCAATAATTTCTAAAATATTTCGGCTTTTCTTACAGCACCTATCATATACACACCTGAATTTCCATAGAATATACAACATTTAAACAAAGCTTCATTTCCTAGCATGAATTCTTACAGCCAAGCGAATCATGAACTCCATTACCGATAATTCGACAGAATTGTATTGATCTTTCAAACACCAGAAATTAATCATGATTGCGATTTTGCCGGTCATCAAAATAATATAACTTCAGTCATCTTCTTTACTGTTAAGAGAGTTTGCGGGCATTCCGATCTGGTAAATTCGGTTTACCAGCTAACAGGCAGTTGCGACTGGTAACGTCACAATTGAATTCGCCCCTAAGGCCCCTTGACACTCGAGAATAAAATACGATCTGTGTGTGTGTGTGTGTGAACGAAGCTTATCGCAGAAGCTCTCCTGGCATGAAAGCAAACCAGCTTCCCATTGCAATTTTGACGTCATCAGTTGCCAGAGCGGTAAAGCGTTGCAGTTGAATTCGATTTTACCAGACGATAGTAGTAACGCCTCTTGCCAGCCGAAATTTGCAAATTGCCAGAGCGTTGCAGTTGAATTCGCCCCTAAATCACAAGCAGAACCCCATGAATTCGCCCCTAAATCACAAGCAGAACCCCAGTCTGCATTTACACATTCATAATTGATCTCGTACGTCAATCATTTTATGGTGCATATTCAGCTAGCGATCTTAGTCGATCAATCTTTGACCCCTTTCAAAATTTCATACTACCCCAGGGTATCAACACTGAACCCGTTAGTTTTCCCTGTATTAAACAATTAAACCGTTTTAACAAAAATCTTCCGATATTAATATGTGTGGTTGGATGTTGAGCGGGTAAAAGGCGATATCTAGACGCATTTTCTCGAAATCCATGTAGAAGTAAGTTAGGAAACACAGCTTGTTCGCAAAGAGTGAACTCGTTGCTGGATGATTGCAGTGTAGGGGTAAATAGAAGCAAATAACGCCAAGTAGTAAACCTGTTCTAAAAGTATGTGACTGGGAGTGTGCCTTCGTGTTTTTAGAAATTTGGTGGTCGTCAATGAAATAAATTAAAAAAGTAGCAGATTTCTCTTTCGCTAATGTTATAAAAATTAAATAAATAATTAGTTGGTCTTAGGAATTTTCTTGAAGTATTAAATAAAATTTGTACAAATCTGCGCATATTAGTTGAAGGAAGTTGTATTTTATAAAAAAATAAGTGTTTATACTCAATATCTATCTTTTCATTAGAATGGAAAAGCGATCAGATGACGAGAGTGAGAAGTATTGTGAAAGTGACAAAAATAGCGAAAGCGGAGAAAAAGTATTTGAAACTATTTTACCGGACTCTTTACCGGACTCAGCAAACATTTTAAAATGTAATTTTTGCCAGTTTTGTTTTACTGATCAATCACAATTAGATCAGCATCTTTTAATTCATTCTGGTGAAAAGCTACATGAGTGTAGTATATGTGGAAAATGTTTTATTGATGATAATTATCTGCAAAATCATATAACCTGGCATACTCAGAATGAATTCAAAAATACTTATACTTGTGATGTATGTGGTAAAACTTTTGACAGTGAATCTAAATTTCGAAGACATAAATACTGCCATGCTGAGAAATCTTATTTATGTGAAGTATGTGGAAAATGTTTTGTTTCAAAAACTCATCTTATTCGGCACACCAAAATTCATACCGGTGAAAAACCATTTGAATGTCATATATGTGGAAGAAGGTTTCGTGAAAATGCTGCTCTTAACACTCATTTTGTTGTCCACAATAACAAACCGTTAATCATTGATGCAGTCAAGCCTCAACAGAGTAATTTGGAGATGTTTTCATGCACTGTGTGTGGTAAAAAATTTGAAACTAAAAATAAATTACGTTGTCACAAGCTTTATCATGGTGACAAATCTTTATACTGTGACTTATGTGGGAAATGCTTTATTAAAAAAAGTCATCTGTCCCAGCATTATCGAGTTCATACTGGAGAAAAACCATTCAAGTGTGAAATATGTGAGAAGGCTTTTGCCCAACCAAGTAGTCTTAGATCACATTCTGTTATCCATATGAAAGAAAAACATAATAATGATACTAAAGTACACCATATATGTGAGAGATGTGGTGAAGTGTTTAGTAATGGATATTTATTAAGTAAACACAACTGCATGCAAGCTGGTGAAAATGGTTTTAAATGTGATGTATGTGATAAGTGTTTTGTTAACAAATGTGTTCTTTCTGTACATTATCGAACACATACCGGAGAAAAACCTTTTAAATGTGATATATGTGAACAAGAATTTTCAAGAAAAGCCAATCTGTTAGAACATTACATTACACATACTGGAGAGAAACCTTTTGAGTGTGATGTTTGTGGTAAGGGTTTTGTGTATAAAGGTGCTCTTTCGTTGCATCTTAAAATACACTCTGGTGATAAACCATTTAAGTGCGATGTTTGCGGCAAAGGTTGTTTAACAAAAAGCTGTCTTTCTAAACATTATAGGACTCATACAGGAGAAAAACCATTTCAATGTGAAATATGCAAAAAAGGATTCAGTACTATTGGCAGTCTGAAATCACACTCTACTTTACATGCAGAAAAAGTATATACTACTGAAGGTGGACTGCATTTGTGTACTACATGCGGTAAAACATTCGAGGATGAGTCTTCATTATCTAACCATCGATGTGTTAATTCTGATAAACAGTATGCTTGTGAATTGTGTGGGAAAAGCTTTCATCAGAAGGGTTCACTTTCTCAGCATTATTTTATACATACTGGTGAAAAACCATTTCAGTGTGAAGTGTGTAAGAAAAGATTTGCTAAACGTAGCAATCTTAAAAGTCATACTCGTCTTCATATGAAAACGAAGACTAATGATAGCAAAAATAATCCTCCATCCTCAAAATCTATAAATGAAAATATATATAATTGTGATAAATGTGAGAGAACATTTAAAATGAAACGTTCATTATCTAATCATCGCTTGTTTTGCCATGCTATGAAGCCATTCTATCCAGTGTAATAACTAAGTATATTAGCTATTCCATATCAGTGAATTCTTCTGCTTTGTAATGATGCAGTTACTTCCTATTCCAATCAAATAGTGTCATTTTCATTCATATAGAAATTTTCCATTGTGTTGGGGAATTGTTATAAAATTCTCTGAAATGGAAATGAAAATGTTTCATTCTGATAAAATGTTTGACTAATCTTGAAAATTAAGATTAAGATTGAACTGGGCATAAATGATAAATTTCCAATTTTGGCAACAGATTATAATTAATGCATTAACTCTTTTATAACAAAAGAGAAATTCTTTTATTCTTAAATTTATTATTAATTGTGAACAAGTACAACTTTATGTAAAATTATGGATTTAAATTTTTAGACATATTTTAGGATATGCCTTCTTCTAAGAAGGCCACTAAGCTAGGTAAGGTAAAGATAAGCATTTTTATAAGAAAGGATAATTTTAAGTCTGTGAAATCTCATTTGGGACTGAGTAAAATGTATGGAAAGCACTGTTGAATTATGATACTGGGCATCAATGAAAAAAAAAATTTCTTTTGCAAAAACGAATTATTATATTCTATAAATGCCTTCTTGCAATCTGTAACATAACTTTGTTTTTGGTAAATTATATACTGTCATTGAAAGTTTTCTGTGAATTCCACTACGCTGAAAACAAAATGTGCATTATTTCTAAAAGACTAACTATCCACATTTGAATAACATGACTGTTATGTTATGCTGATGTGCTAAATGAAATTTGCTTAAAACAGTTTTGAATCTGTAAAAAAGGAAATATTGCTGCATTAATCTGAGACTGGAAAATACTTTCAGCAGATTGTGATTTAAATGATAAAAAACATTACCATCACTTAAATTTATGTCATAGCTAATTAAAATTTATATGGCAGTTCTTGGTTAACAGGCAGCTGCTTGGCATCAAATGCAAATGTTAATAAGGAACCAACTCATGACAGAATAGCAATCTTGAATAATATACAAAGCATTATGAAGTGAATGGCTATTTTATTAAAGCTAAATAAGTATAAAACAGAAACTTACTGATTAGAAGCACTATGAAGTGACGGGCTAAAACAGCGATTAAATCCAAATAAACAAAATCAAAGACAAATATAGAAACTTACTGATAAGAATGTATATAATTATTCCAGTTTCCAAAATTCTACCTTTTGAGCTGTTGGCACTAGAGTTAAATAAACTAAACTGTGTAGGTTAAAATAGCATGCTAAATAATAATTATTGGTGATGTCAAACAACAAAAATCAGGGTAATGTTTGTAAATTTTGCAGGACTTGTTTCGATGTTTTAACTACAGAACTATCTTTCTCCAGCTGCCTAAGTGCAAATGAATATTCAGCTGCCTTCATTTATTCTTTGTACTTACTTTGCTAGTTCATTTGTACTTAGGCAGCTGAGGAAGATGGTTTTGTAGTTAAACCATCGAAACTAGTCCTGCAAAATTTACAAATGTTACGCTGTTTCTTATTGTTTGACTTCTCCCATTAACTAAACAGTTATATATTTATAAAGAATATAAAAAAAAAATCAAATCTTTATTCCCTGTAGAAACTTAAACTTTTTTTTTTTTTTCTTTCTATGTTACAGTTTCTTATTGCAGCAGAATTTTGGTTCTCCAATATGCCTGAACAAAGTCCTTCAGCAGATGATATTTTTTGTCTTGAAAAAATATCTCAACTCTTCTCTTCATCATTTGGCAGATGCTACTTGTAATAATCCATGATAATTTTTAAAAAAATCAGCTCTTTCACAGGGAAAATGTCAAAGAGAAAATTATGGGATCAATCTTGGGTTTTCATCCGCAGAGAACCCGTTGGCACCGTTGCATTTTTGCTCGCCAAGCTCGCAGTAGCCGTAAACGTGATTTTTAGTGCATGTAAATTCAAGTTAGCAGACAAAACAATATATTAAGCATATGGTTGTAAAATTCACAGATAATAAGCATGTAGATGTAAAAACTAACCGGTTAAATGTTATATACGAAAATAAATTTGTATTAAATTCAAGTTGGCACAGAAAAGAATATATTAAGCATAAGAAAATATACAGTCAAAAGTCGTTAATCCGGACTCGTCGGGACTTCGGCGATTCCGGATTATCAATTTTTCCGGATTATAGATCATCAGTTTAAATCTGGTAAAATGGCATGCAGAAATTATAAAATTAAAAATATGAAACCGTAATTTACGAAATAAAGAACAATTATGATCTAAAGGGTATCAAAATTTACAAAAAAAAAAAGCTTAATATTTATTTGTTTACTTTATTAAACATTTCTTTCAATGTAAGTTGTTTAAGTTGCTTCGTTTTTTATGTTATAATACATTCTCTTTAATTCTATAAACAGATATAATTTCTTGTTCAGTTACAAAGTTCCGCTGTTTAAGTCCTATAATTGCTGTGTCGAGAATACCGACTAATTTGTCAATCGAAATTTTTTCGTTTTCAATAACCTCTGTTACTTTCTTCACTATCGGAAGCGAATTATAATGACGAGGAACTTGTTTTAAATCATATCAAAGACGGAGTACATCGAGAGGAAATACTACATTTAATAAGGAATTATAAGCCAAATAAAATAAAAACATCTGCCCTGAAGATAAGGATAGTGCTGACAGATCAACTTCAAATTAATTGCGCGCCGCGGCGTTCCCCCCCACCGAACAGCGTGAAATTGATAAACAGATTTCGGATTTCAAAACATACTTTCACTTTAGATCCTTTACATATTAGCAAATATATATCGGAAATTCTATTTGATATAATCAAAAGTTGAAGGTTACTTTTATAAAATTGCTCTAACAGTCTGCAAAAAATAATAAGCCGGATCCAATTCGAAGATTAAGGAGCAACGCAATCTGCAACATTAACTGAATTAGATAATTTTATCTTAGCTTATACCGTCCGTTATACATTAAACGCACATGCGTAAACGTTTTATGCGCACACGCATATTCGTAGCCATAAAGGTGTTACGCGCACACGTAAACGCCTATGCGCATGCGTCAACGCTACGTATGCGCAGAAAGTTTGTAGCTTTGAAGTCCGGATTATGGGTGTCCGAATTAACGACTTTTGACTGTATAAGCATTTATAACAGAAATAAAAATTCTTTTAAAAAATATAAATTAGTATTAATGTACTGAAATTAACCGGTTAAACGTGATAAACAAAAAAAAAAACTGTCTTAAATTCCAGTTAACACAGAAAACAATATATTCCTTACACCAGCAGTGGTTTGCTAATTTTGATGACCATGGTGATGCATCAAACTATTCTGTCATCTTAGATAATCAATAATATTTTTTGTTTCAATTTAATCATCTATTTATCTCACACCTGCCATCCTCTGAAAGGTTACTGTTTGAAAAGCATTAACAATATATTATCTTGTTAAAATTTTACGTCATAAAAATTGATTTATTCTCATAATTTTAGATGGCAATAACCAATAATAAAAATAAAAGCATTACTTAATTATTTAAAATGCACATGCACATTTTTGCGGCCTACGGAAACAAATTATTTTAGAAGTTGGAAACCTCATAGTTCTTAGAGCTGTTAATAATTAAGAACACAACGTGAACAGCCGTGTTGCAAATAAGCATTCATCCCTCCCGCCGTATTTTCTTCCTTTCATCCCAAACCGAGAGCTATCTACAAAAATATTTCTATCTATTTGTTGTTAAAAAATTCAGAAAAAATAATAATAAATAAGAGAAGAATAATATAAATCTGCAAATGCGAACAACAACAGTGATAATTCAACAAAATGAACGCAAGAGGAATGGTACCAAACTTCGAACAAGCGAATAGGATAAATCCGCTGGGTTACCAGGTTTGAACTATTATCGCCAAATTTGGCGATGTTTACATTTACTGGGTTCTCTGTGGAAGTGCTTCCTCAATCTTTGTTAACCTGTCCATAATGATATTGTTGCATAATTACATCTGAGGTAAATTAAACAGGTCATTATATTTAGTGCCGTGGTGTACAACTGGCAGCCTGTTAACTGCGAAGTATTAATTAAACTTAATCCTGGAAGAGTTAACCATCCTTTTCCTAGTGTTCTCAGGATATAACTGTACTCCATGAAGAAATTGCATTAATATAAAAACCTTATAGTACTTCTTTTTGATAGCGACCTTGACGAGATAAACTGTATTGGCATATTTACGGCTTACTCGCATTTCTTAAGCCGTAAATATGCCTATCGCAAACAGCCATGGAAATGAAATTAACTAATTGGTGACCAGTGCAAATTGGTAATTTATTTGCTATTGAGAGCTAACTGGAAGTAATTAATATTTAAACTGTTTTTAAAAGAACTTGCATTAACTGAAGAAATGTAAACTGTGTGCACGTATGCAAATCGGTTCTTGTGTCATGTTAGCATGGAAAAGCAAATAATAAATATTTAGCACCAGATTTTAAGAGAGAATGGTCATTTTACTATTTAAAAGTGATAAACTGTTATATTAAAAAGAAAATTTTGAATAACTAAGGGAAAATATGTGAATATATGTAAATTTGTAACTGTTTGTTTTTTATTTGAAGGTAGAAGAATGCCAATTCCTCTTTCTGATCAAGGTTGCTATAAAATGGAAGTACCAAATATTATTTTTAAAAAATTGGTTGTAGTAAAATGAGTATAGACATTTAAATAGATACACATATTTTATAATTTACTGCTGCTTAATTTTTTATGTTCTTACAAATATATGTTTTACATATATTGCTTTTAACTTTCAATTTTTATTCTAATGACTGGACAAAAAGCACACTATCTTTTTGTCATTTTATCTTTTGGCTTTAATGGAGAATTGGGTGCCCCTTCGATTGGCGAAAAATTTTGTTCAATTTTGGCGATAAAATGCCATTTCTGGTTACCACGATAGTTTTAACTTAGTTTCAGCATCCGTACCATCACCTTAGGGTTACCATAACTCTGTTTTAACCTGATATGACGTCATCATTGCGACTTTCTTAAATGTAAATTTTATTGTTTGTTTCGTGATTGCATAAGTAATTTATGTAAAATTAAATGTAAATTTTATTGGTCGTTTTTGTGACTGCATAAGTAATTTAAGTAAAAATTAAATTAAAATTTTATTGGTTTATTATTATTATTATTATTATTATTATTATTATTGATTGCGTAAGCATTTCGTTTTACTGTTAGTTGCCTGCTTGATATTTAGTGCTATCTTTCTCTGTTATCTAGCAAAGTAGAATGTCTGGAAAAATTAATATGCATGTTTTTTTTTTTTTTTTTTTTTTTTAATTGGAGCAAAATGGTAAGAGAGTTATTATTGATTGGTGTATGCATGAAGGTTTGATTAGTTCTCATTATGTTTGTCCTCTTTGTATGAAAGATATGCGTTTGATTGAAAGGAAGGATAGATCGGATGGCTATGAATGGGTTTGTCATAAAAAAAGTGTGAATGCTCATCATTGTAAGAGTTCTGTGAGGAAAGGTACGTGGTTTGAAGAGAGTAATATGAGTATTATTGAGATTTTATTATTTTCGTATTTGTGGGTGTACGAATCTGATTATGAATGAGGTGAATGTGAAATCGAATAAAACTGGCTGATTGGCGTAATTTTTGTAGAGAAGTGTGCATGGATGTATGTGTGAAAAAGAGTGATATGGTTGTGGAGATTGATGAAAGCAAGTTTGGTAAGAGGAAGTATAATAGAGGTAGACGAGTGAATGGTAAATGGGTGTTTGGTGGAATTGAAAGAGAGAGTGGAAAGTGTTTTTTTTTTTTTTTTTTTTTTAGGTTGTGGAAGACAGATCGAGAGAGACTTTGCTGGAGGTTATGAGGTGAAAAATTCTGCCTGGGACTATGATTATCTCAGATTGCTGGAAATCCTATGATTGTTTGAAAAATGAAGGTTTCCAGCACTTATCAGTTAACCATTCGTTGAACTTTATTGAACCTACGACTGATGCTCATACAAACAACATTGAAAGT